TAAAAACTTGTATTCCTTAGTTAACCCTCTATGGGCCGAATTTTTGTTTTAAATAAAAAAAAATTGGGGGAACGAAAAATCAGCAATTAGGAACCTACATATGCAAATGAAAAAAAATTTTTCATTTAAAATGTGACCTGAAAGTTACACGCGCCCATAGAGGGTTAAAATTTCAGCAAGCTCAAAGCAGGTCTGAAGAAGGTCCATTTATTGAACAATCCGCTACACGTCCACGGGTGTGATCCGGACTTGCTGCGGACCTTCGATAGATTGAGGTGATACAAAATTTCATTTTTCGAAAACAATATGTATTCTTGGTTCTAGTCTGGGATGAATATAAAAATTTCTTTATAAAACTAAAATTCAGCACCACATTCTTTCTTCTGCATGATTACATGCTCAAGTTTCAAGTGATTCGGTGCATCCCGTTTGAAGAAAAATTGTATAAATATTATGACATTTTATATATATGTTATATACGTATGTTATATATATATTATATATATAACATATATATAAAATGTCAAAGTATTTATACAACTTTTCTTCAAACGGGATGCACCGTATCACTTAAAACTTCAGCACGCGATTATGGTGACCCTAAGGAAGAACGATGCTCATGAAATTTCATTTTCAGAAAGAAATTTTTATATTCATCCTAGACTAGAACCAAGGATACATATTGTTTTCGAAAAAAGAAATTTCATGAGCACCACGTTCTTCTTTAGTCTCCATACTCATGTGCTGAAGTTTCCAATGATTCGGCGCACTCAGGTTGGAGAGAAGTTTTATAAATATTTTGACGTTTAATATGTGCAGAATGACTCTTTCATATCTCCTTAAGGGGATGTGTAAGTGGCATCTGAAAGCTCAATCGTTTATGAAACTTTTCTCTAAACTGGATTTACCGAATCGTTTCAAGTTTACATCGTTAACTCGACGACTATAAGGAAGGTCCTGACCCTTATGAAATATCATTTTTTATGAACAATTTTTAAAATACCGGTAAACAATATTTAAGAAAATTGAAATTTTATGGGGATAAGGACCATCGTTATAGCCTCCGTATTTATATTGTAAAGTTTGAATCGATTCAGTGCACCCATTTTGGAGAAAAGTTTCATGAACGAGAACTCTTTGACGCCTCTTTCACATCACCATAATGTCACGATTCGGACGTACAGTGGGGGACATGAATGCCTTCCCTACAGATATGGTATGCCGATGCATGGTGGACAGGCATTCATGTCCATCAGTGTACTAGTCAGTGTACTTGCGGCGGACTAGAAGACTTATCTCGGGTCGGCAGCTGACGTGCTGTTGACCTTTGTATTTCGACTCGGGTTAAAAAAAAATTGTACTATATGAACTGTGAAATGAGACGGCATTACTATGCTTAAGGTGAAGTAAAACACGTCGAGGAACTTGATCGACGTCGATAAAGAAGATTTTTCTAAATACCTACGTTCCCGACGTTCGTTTTTATATTGACAGTTCTGTTGAATTATATTGGGTATTGTCCTACATGGCATACTCCACCTATCGTTCTCGGACATTAATTATAAAGAAATCGAAGTAAAACTCCAGAAATCCTCTGGATTCATGCTTTCCTAATTGAGTACAGAGGAACCCTCTGCGCCATCTGTAATTTCCAGGTCAATTAAATTTTCACTCCGAGGCCTCGTATTCCCATCGTTTTAGCATAGAAGCGCATAAAACACTTTTCTTGCCTTTATCCCGTTCAAATACGAGTTTATCGATTACCAGAGTGTTCTAAGTTGTCGTAAAATTGTCCTGACCCTTTCGATGCTCATATCAGAGTCTTCGATAATTGTATATTGATCGAAATATGAGAGCTCGACGCCATTTTGGTTCTGGTCCGGGCTAAGTTAAAAAAATTGTTTTCAAAAATCCAAATTTTGAATGCGTCAGGACAATTTTTAGATGATCAGGAGTGATGTGTCAAAGTTTCGGATAGTTTGGTCTAATACCCTTAAAAAAAAGTGTTGTATTCGAATCGACAGATTTGAAGGGGGTTTCACTTCACCTTAAGCATGTTATGCATTTCTGGCAAAGATTTAATTCTAAACATTTACGTTGCTTTCGACATCCTGCGCTTATCCGCTTCCTAATTCGAGAAAATAATTAAAAACTGCTATATTAATTTCGGGATAGCTGATGGAAGTCGCAACTTAACAAGTGATAGGTCAATCTTTATTCAGTTACTCCAAATAGCCGATATCATGGATGTTCAATTTCGAAGGCGGGTGAACGCGTGAATTATCTCGGTCATTCGGACCTCATGATTCGCGTGGAAAGTGAAAGCGACTCTAATCGCGTAATTTTCTTCGTGCCTTATTTTATACAAGGCTGACGGGGACGCCTCGAGCAATAGTTTACTTCGAGAACCCGAGGCCCCGTCGAGATCGATAATTGAAGACACGAGAATGAGAAGCCGACTCGTTACAAATCGCTCGGTTTATAGCACAATGAGAAAACGATTTGTTTCATTGAAAATAAATATATTTGAATGAACAATATTTTTTCATTGTTATACAATTGAATAATTGTATAACAACGACTCGTTACAGATCGCTCGGTTTATAGCACACTGAGAAAACGATTTGTTTCATGGAAAATAAATATATTTGAATGGGCAATATTTTTTCATTGTTATACAACTGAACAATTGACACAACAATTGAATAATTGTATAACATCGACTCGTTACAGATCGCTCGGTTTATAGGACGCTGAGAAAACAATTTGTTTCATTGAAAATAAATATATTTTAAATGGACATTATTTTTTTTCATTGTTATACAATTGAATAATTGTATAACAACGACTCGTTACAAATCGTTCCGTTTATAGCACACTGACAAAACGATTTGTTTCATTGAAAATAAATATATTTGAATGGAAATTATTTTTTCATTGTTATACAATTGAATAATTGTATATTTAATTGGAAGATAACTGTCGATTGGCCATATTTTCTTGATTTGAATTCAATAAATGTTTGATCTAAACGAATGATTGATTTAAGTTGCATAAACGTTTCGTTTAAGTAAATTATTTGCTTGATTTGGATGCAATAATGTTTCATTTAAACGAACATTGTAAGAGAAGAAAAGATTTTCTGTTAACGGAGGCATAGAAGCTTGGATGTCTGACTAATTTAAGAATGTGCCGTTATCATAATTTTTTCTCTCCTTATTCACGTAACGATACAACTCGTATCACTGATTGTAATTCTTTTGGCCCATTATAGTATTACCCATAAGACTGTTTACTCCGAAGGACCTTGCGGCTCCTTTAAATGTATTTCTTGGAATCTAATAAATCATTTCTTAAATTTAAATCCAAGACACTTAGGCAAATTGATTGTTTATTTCAAAGAAATTATTGATTTAAATTAAGACAGTTACGTCAAACAAATAACATATTTTACTTAAGAACGTGAAAATTTGTCTTTGACTGAAATCAAATAAACGTTCCATCGATTGATACAATTCATTGTTTTGTTTTAATAAAAGCAGTTTAAACATATTTCAGGGTGTGAATTAAATAAACTGTTTTCTCAGGGTAGAAGCACCATTTATGATAATTAGACCAGCACGGAAATAATTTCTGATTTTTGAAACTGCTTCCACGAAATCGTAATCAATCGGCAGTGTCAACGAAAACTATCCACTAAAAGTCGTGCTTGAAAGATATTTTTGCGAAGGAAACGGGCGGGTCGTATGAAAACTTTTACGATCGCATTTTATCGCACTAAAGAGTCTTCAATTTTTCCATCGGAGGATCTTGTGGCACCGAATCGTCTAATGGGGTCATAATCACCTCGAGATGGAACACTCATACGGAATAAAGGAGATTCATAAAAGAAATAGGGTTAACAACACTCTTATTGATTGAATATACTCTAGTAGCACAGAATAATTTCTGGATATTTTTATATGATATAATTTTCTAAATCTTTGCTAAATATCTCGAGCGACAGATTTGTTAAGACATCTCGTAGATTACACTTGAAAATATCTAAATTATTCGCTGAAAATCTCTGACATTTAGTTTTAATAATTTATAAACATATATAAAAAGTATAATGTTTAATTTAAAAACATACGATGAAAGTACATTTTTTATATTACGGTTATTATCGGACACTTGATTTGGTATAAACAAAACACGAGACATTTTTTCAATGTTTTCGTTCCGCTATTTTATTATGGGAGAAAAACGTGTGATTTTGATTTTAAATATTTTTAAAACGTTTATAATGCATTCCGCACATAATATTTAAAAAATACTTATATTAAAATGAAACGAAACGTTTTGTATATCTATAAGAGAAATATTACAATAACACATGGAGCTAATAGTATACAAATATTGTGAAAATAATATTCTAAAGTAAACGTTTTGCAGATGTTTCAAATGTCAGCTAAATATTTATAAAATATACGATATTCGTTAAACATATAGAAAATATAAGACAAACATTCTGTGCAACTACGGTAATGTTATAAATCAATTCGTAATTACATCCAACTTGTTTTAGGAAACGTAGGATTTCTGGAAGGATTCTCACAAAAAATGCATGATTATTAATAATTTTATTTCATCTGGAATACCGACAAACGTCAAATGATTTAGATCCCCGCTACACAGGGGTAATATTATTTCTCGGCTGGTTTCTTCGTGCAAAAGAAATATCAAAGCAGAGAGACGGGAAATGAAAGCAGTCTGCGTTATAATCACTTTTTTAGGGACGGCGAATAGGAAACGGTATTCGCGTTCCAGTTTCGGGATTACTAAAAATGCGAGTAAGTCATCGAATCGATGTACCGTCTGCAAGATGGACACGGAGAAGTGGAAATTCCCGCGTGAAAAGAGAAACGACAAGTCGGTTCTGGGAGTGACAGGAGACTAAGTACCGGGAAGATTGTGCGAGTGAAGTGGCCTAGGCGGTACTCGGCAAAGTTCCGAGGATAATGGACACAACACAAGCCGATTCTGGCAGGAGTAATCGTTCGAACGTCGGAAAGGTTGGCGGTGTTTCGAAGAGTCCAACGAAATACATATTCAAGCCCGAAGTCGTGAATTCCACGTCATCGAAGCACGCCATTAATGGTGCCAACCGCGATCCCAACTCGGAGAAACCCCAGCCACGTTCGCGTGATACTCAAAAGGGACTTCTAGGATTCCTTGCGAGAAGTACAAAGCGTGCACCTATCAAGAGTTCGGAAGTTCACGTAGACCGTAAAAGAAGCCATTCCTTGTTCACGCTGAAAAATGTCAAGGAGAAGGATCGGAGGTTGTCGGAGCTGGAAGAAAATCGACTTCTTGCCAAACTCGTTGCGGAGCACGAGAACAAAGGGTCTCGGACGAAAGGACGAAATCCCGAGGAAAGGCACTCAAGGAGCGATGACAGGAAAATCAGAACACAGAAGAATAGCGAATGCCACTCCACTGTAGAACGAAGTCCTGACTCGGAGATCAGGAGTCAGGGAGAAAAAAGTCTGGACGGCAAGAATTACGGTAAACGTCATTGACTTCTGCGACAACTGATTCTAGGACGCAGGCCTTGTTCCTATCAAACTGAAACATGCGCTAACGCTCCTTGAATAGCAGACAGTATTACAGAGTAACGAAGTATTTGTAAATTAAGGTGATATGAAAGGCGCTGAGAAATTTAATCGACGTCGATAAATTAAGGTGAAGTGAAACACGTCGAGGAACTTGGTCAACGTCGATAAAGAAGATTTTTCTAAATGCCTACGTTGCCGACGTTCGGTTTTATATTGACAGCTGGGTCGAATCATATTGTGTATTGTACCAAATGGCATATTCCACCTGTCGTTTTCATACAATAATTATAAAGAAATCGAAGTAAAACTCCAGAAATCCTCTGAATTCATGCTTTCTGGGGCCCTAATTGACTGCAGAGGGACCCCCTGCGCCATCTGTGATTTCCAGGTCAATTAAATTTTCACTCCGAGACGTCGTATTACCATCGTTTTGGCATAGAAGCGCATACAACACTTTTTCTGCCTTTATCCCGTTCAAATGCGAGTTTATCGACTACCAGAGTGTTCGAAATTGTCATAAAATTGTCCTGACCCTTTCGTTTCTCATATCAGAGCCTTCGATAATTGTATATCGATCGAAATATGAGACCTCGACGCCACTTTGGTTCTGGTCTCGGCTGAGTTAAACAATTTTTAAAAAAATCCAAATTTTTAATGTGTCAGGACAATTCTTAGATGATCAGGAGTGATGTGTTAAAGTTTCGGACAGTTTGGTCTAATACCCTTAAAAGAAGTGTTGTATTCGAATCGGCTGATTTGAAGTGGGTTTCGCTTCTCCTTAAGTTTTGAATCAATTGCTATATCTGTTCAATTTTACCTCTGCTTCTTAATATCTTGTACTCAACCAGTAGTAGAGCCATTTCGATTTGTTTCCACCTACCGATAGTTTAGATCATTGAATATATTGTAGAGGATTGTTCGGTGGAGAATGATCCTTTTTAAATGTGTCAGGATAAAACTGTCAAATTGAGGATCTCAGGTCGGAGAAGGAAATTAATACGTCACTAATCACGTCGTGTAATTATTGATTCTCAACCATTAAGTCGATTCGTCCGTGTATTACGCGGGGTACCCAAGGTGTCGAGAAGACTCGATCAGCCTGACTGCCGAAGTCCTGTGTCCCACAATATTAAGGTGAAGTGAAATCCCCTTCAAATCAGTCGATTCGAATACAACACTTTTTTTTAAGGGTATTAGACCAAACTGACCAAAACTTTGACACATCACTCCTGATCATCTAAGAATTGTCCTGACACATTCAAAATTTGGATTTTTGCAAAATTTTTTTAACTTAGCCCAGACCAGAACCAAAATGGCGTCGAGCTCTCATATTTCGATCGATATACAATTATCGAAGGCTCTGATATGAGAGTCGAAAGGGTCAGGACAATTTTACGACAATTTAGAACACTCTGGTAATCGATAAACTCACATTTGAACGGGATAAAGGCAAAAACAGTGTTGTATGCGCTTCTATGCCAAAACGATGGTAATGCGAGGTCTCGGAGTGAAAATTTAATTCACCTGGAAATCACAGATGGCGCAGGGTGTCCCTCTGCAGTCAATCAGGGCCCCCGAAAGCTTGAATCCAGAGGATTTCTGGAGTTTTACTTCGATTTCTTTATAATTATTGTACGAAAACGACAGGTGGAGTATGCCATTTGGTACAATACTCAATATAATTCGACACTGTTGTCAATATAAAAACGAACGTCGGCAACGTAGGCATTTAGAAAAATCTTCTTTATCAACGTTGACCAAGTTCCTCGACGTGTTTCACTTCACCTTAAGGACTAGGAACGTAACAATTAGAGGTCCTTATCCTACAATACTGTATTCAGTATTCTTTTGTCTCATAGAGTACAGTTTTGACTATTGCCTAGCGTTGCAGGAAATTATCGCACGATACCAGGAATTTTTAATGAATCCAAGTTGCTTATTTTATTCTTCCATCATTATGATATCATGCAGTTTTCTTTAAAATTCAGAAATAGAAATTGTTTCTTGCTCATATATAGAATCTTAGGATAATTCGTTTAAATTTTATGATGTATCGATATTTTACGAGTATTGAAATTCAACTCATACATAAGTGGACTCGTGCGTTAGTAAACAGTCGAGCTAGAGGCAAAGCTATGTATATACTTTGACAACGCACAGATAATTCAAATCTAGATATAAAGAACTCTAAATTCAACGATTAAACTTGATCGACGCGAACATTCTTTACTCTGGATTATGCGTATATGCAGAAACTGTCTGGTCCATGCACACTATTCAAGTGAAGCTGCTAGTAATTTCTTGTTCTTCAATCGGCAGCGTGATGTAACTATTTATACCTATACTCAGTTATTTCAGAGACCAGTAGTAAATACTCAGAGGAAAGGAAAAGGCGACTTGCAGAGATCATCCGTCGAAATGAAAAACACGAACTAGCCTTTGCATTTCAACTTGACTTAGAAAATGATCTGGATAAAGAGAACCGTTTATCTGCAAACAAAGACGAATGCTCCTCATACGAACCGTACTCATCACACCAAGAAAAGAGAAGTCCACAAAGCGAGACTAATTCGTCAGAGGGGTCTTCTCATCATAAAAATGATAGGGTTCCTCCCAGAGCAGATTCTCCGTACCCCAGCACCAATCACGTCGAACTATTTCTGGCTACTCGTGAAAATATAAATCGCAAATACTCGTCGAAAAGCCTACAGGAAGACCTAACAAGATGCATTACAAACTGTGAGAATTGTGGCGAATCGCATTGTTCCTCGTCTACGAAAAGTAATTTTCGTCCAGAATACCCCGAAACGGGGATAGTGGGATTACCGGATGAACTCAATTTCACGAAGAAATTTCCCTTCGATCGACAACAGGAAATCCCAGTAACTTCCTTGTTGTATCGCAGCAAATCTTCGCCACAACTATCAGGGCACGATAGTGGCGTTGGTAGCAATGAGCAGCCTGCGGGAAGACCTACTGCCAGATTAGTTGCTGATCTCCGCCAACTATTAACCTTGAAGCAACACTACTATCCAGAAGGAGGTTGGGGGTGGGTGATCATAGTGGTGGGAATTCTAGTGCAGATCCTGACCCATGGGTTACACGGTGCCTCGGGAGTACTTCTTCAACAAGTCGCCAACAAATTTGGACCCCGGATTTATTTGGAGTCAGGTGAGTCTTAACGATGTTCGTAGATGTTCGATTCGTACACAACAAATCCTGTGAATGATATGACACGTGCCATTCTTCTGATATAGAGCAAAACAGAATTCTATTGTTAAAAGTAGTGATGTGGTAAATTGTGTAATTGTTTGATCTCTTCAACTGTTAAGGTGATGCAAAAGTGGCGTCAAAGAGGCCTCCGTTTATGAAACTTATCTCGGAACTGGGTGAACTGAATTGTTTTACACCTTACAATGTGAATATAGCGGTTATGAGGAAGGTCCTGACGCCCATGAAAAATAAAATTTTGCAAGTTTCAGGACCTATTTTTAAGGACTACTTAGTCATGTGGTAAAATTTGAAACAAATTGCTACACCCAATTTGGAGAATACTTTCACGAACGATTAACCCTTCAGATGCCACATTCACATCCTCTTAACTGATGTTATTAGGTTCTACAGATTCTGCGATACACGCAACTTAAACGACTTACAATTCGATGACGTTAGTTAAGGGTTAACATACACGTAGAAAAATAAGAGCCTTAAAGTTACAGGAGCCTATCTATTAGAAATTGTTGTTCACGGTACGCTTAAAAACTGACCCATTAACGAATTGATCTAGTTAATTTTGCTTCCTTACATGTACCGATAGCAGAAACATTTCTGTAGAAGTCAGCTGTACTTGTAGCTGAAAATGTCTGTTAATATTAATAGCAATGAAACTGGTACATTCAACCCTTTGCCCTGCTTTGTCGAGTGTGACTCGACATCAGTAATCGACATCTCAATAATTCGGAGTGCAAAGGATTAAAGTATTACAAAACTGTAGGTGCAACGAAAAATACCTGTAGATGTTACGGATTCGGTCTGTTCAGTTCATATTTTTTTTTTCACAAAGATAAAAATAATTGTAAGCGTTACAAAAAAAATCTGCAGATTTAATAGATTCAACAGATTAAGGGTAACAGTTATTTATCCGTAACCCTTCCAAATAATTATATATGCTTGTTATAAATATTTATCTGTAACTTTTACGGATTTTATCGTGCCGCTAACGGAAATAATCTGTTGTTCTTATTTCAACGGATAAACTTTGTACATTTTACAGATTTTTCTGTAAGTTTAACGGATTATTTCCCTCCGTGTTAAGTTTCATTTTTAGGTGTCAATTGACAATGTGCCCAAGAGGGAAGATACGAATGATTTGTAAGAAGGTGCAGCTTTATGCTGGCTAAATATATCGCATATTTAGTAAGAAAATTTGATTGGCACATAAAACCTTGTAATATTATTAAATTTTCAAGATATTGCAAAGTTATATTCTTACAAGGAAACATTCCCAGGTGTCCGCCCCCGATCTTATTGATTTGCATATATGTTGAAGAACACAAAAATCTATGAGACACGTGTTTTTGTATATCTGCAATGGTCCACATTTAAGGGGTGAAACAACCCCCTAAAGTTTGGCGAAAATTCGATTTTTATAATAATTTTCGTAGAAGCAGTTGAGGGATTTCGATGAAACGTGGTATAAACGTATTCTGTATAAGGACGGTGAAAACACAATGTTGTCCAGCAATGCTACATCCCCCCAAGGGGTGAACTACCCTTCAGGCAACATTTTTCTGTAATATCTATTAAAGGAGCACTCCTACTTAAGTTCCACTTACGCGATGTGATTGCTCACAAAAAATGAAGAAATACATATTTTTTTGCTTTTTTCCAATAATGATTTACACATCGATTGTAAAGAATGAATGTAAGTGGTATACGGGTATATTCCGACTAGCTGTATTGGGCTATATCGTGACCAACTCATTGTACAAAAATCTTGTGAACGTGCTAATTCCTTAAAATGCCATTGATTTTCATAACATGCAATTATTTATAAATACATTTTAAAAAAAAGTTTAATAGACTAGAATCGTTTCGCAACAAATCCGATGACGCAGTCATCACCCGTTTCCAACTAGTAATACAATCTCTTTGGTGAAACAGTAAAATTGAATTTTTACTGTTTTTACGAAAATAGAGATAGCGATATTTGTAAATAATTGCATGTTATGAACACCAACGACATTTTGAGGAATTAGCACGTTCACAAGGTTTATGTACAATGAGTTGGTCACGATATAACCCAATGAAGCTAGTCGGAATATACCCGTATACCACTTACATTCATTGTTTACAACCGATGTGTAAATCATTATTGGAAAAACGCAAAAAAACATGTATTTCTTCATTTTTTGTGAGCAATCACATCGCATAAGTGGAACTTAAGTAGGAGTGCTCCTTTAATAGATATTACAAAAAAATGTCGCCTGAAGGGTTGTTCACCCCCTTCGGGGGGTGTAGCATTGCTGGACAATATTGTGTTTTCACCGTCCTTATACAGAATACGTTTATACCAAGTTTCATCGAAATCCCTCAACTGCTTCTACGAAAATTATTATAAAAATCGAATTTTCGCCAAACTTTAGGGGGTTGTTTCACCCCTTAAATGTGGACCATTGCAGATATATAAAAACACGTGTCTCTTAGATTTTTGTGTTCTTCAACATATATGAAAATCAATAAGATTGGGGGCGGACACTTGGGAATGTTTCCTTGTTAGGCAAATGCCTTTATCAGAATTGAAGGATTTCTATTGGATAATAACCGTAAAGTAGTGAGTTCAAAAATGCTCACCGTGTGTGGAAGAAAATGATTAGCAAATGACGGCGCTGACAATTATTAGTCCAATAAACCTACTCACGTTACCTTTGCATAATTCCTGCGCACAGTAGGTTAAGTACCCGTCGTTTACGTACTCTAGTAATCAGTGCCGCGTACTATGTCAAAATTGTCGTTACCGACTTCATGCTGAGATGCAACGCCGTTGAGATTCTCATTCAATTTTCTGCTCAATGAATACCAAATTTTATCTGACGCAGACAATGTGTTCTTTGAATAATCACGGGATGTCTCATATCAAGGTAACTGTTTAATTAAAAATTTAGCATAGAAGCCCGATATGTTGACACAGAAGCAGTTATTCAAATTTAAATTACGTATGTCTTTGATGAACATTACTGCGTTTTTCGGTTTGATTTAGGACTAACATTCTTTCAGAGATGAAACATACTCTTTTCATTCAAAAGAGCAGTTAAAAACTCATGACTGCAAAAAAAGAACATGAACTTTAATTGTACATATACAGGGTATAACAGAAATAGTGGACACGCCCGGATAGAAATTCATGATCGTCATATGAGCCGCTCAGTGCACACATCGACTAATTCCACTTTTTGAAAAATCTTAAATTTAGGTGTCAAAGCACTTGGTATAGTCATAACTTTTTATATTTATAATATCTTTCCTGATTAATAGAGATTAACACCATTAAACGGCAAAATTTGTTTGGGCATTGAATAATAAGTCATTTATTTCAGAAGCCATTTTGATTAACTCCATACTCTAATGTAAATCGTAAACGAATACCTGGCAGCATAGTATTATTGGATTATCTGTTGCGGCCGTACATCGACGCTTTTTTTTTAAACAGCCGAAGATGCCTTCCCCCTTTCAACAATATGAGTAATAAAATCGCATCAGCAAACAGATAGAAAGAAGCGCAATGCAGACGGTAGTTAGTATAACAGTGATCTCTCACGCTGAATGTTTCCGTATACTTCACCAATATTACACGGACTACATATTTTTTGGTCTTTTCAACATTACTCCCTGATTGTTTTTAAAGAACTAAACATTATACCGTTATAATCAAGATGAGCGAAACTAATAACAATGTGGATGTGGAAAGCAGCGATGATTCTTCAATACGATTTATCAGCAGAAAGTCTGGGGCAAGAAGACGTTTATCGTGTTTCTCGGATTCATCCGATTGCAACGGTACAAATTCCCCAACGACCACATCGATTGGGAGGAAAAGAAGTCGTAATCCTGATAAATGGGCACGAAATTTACAAAAGCATAACGGAACAAAAGGTTTGGCATACAGGAATAGGGGAGGAAATTTAATACCTGCAAAAACATTTGTCGATGTAAAATGCAGACGATTATTTTTTGGCTATTCTTTCTTATTAATTTTATATACCGTTAGATGAAAACTATAACTGCATTTTTGTATCCTACATTATATTTGAAGTTATATTATAATAGGAATTTTAAAAAAGAATCTACATTACTTCATCGCATTTCTCAACTTTTTGATTTATGGAGTTAATCAATGTGTGCACTGAGCGGCTCATATGATGAGCAAAATCGATTTACAAACAATTTGCTGCATGAAATGTCTGCAATACATGTACGCAAATTGCACAATAAATTTGAAGACAAATTTGTGGTACATTTGTCATAAATGGCTGTAATAATATATTTACCGCATACTCGAGTCGTATGGTAGTTATGCCACAACCGACGTTTATGAGCTAAAAATTTATTGAAAATTTAGCAGGAGCTATGACATCATTCCATGACATGAATTTGTGGCTATTGTATGAAGTTACTTTATGTTACAAATGTGTGCTAAATATGACGTTGTTTCATGTTCCCGTTTCCATCACGCCTTGATTCAAATATAAGCTACGGACGCTGCAATTGTTTATCGGCAATGCATGAGATAAATTTAGCTGTACGAATGCGTACAAATATTGAGACATTGCATTTACTTAACTTTGTTTCATAATTATGTATTGTTGGTTCGTCATTGTATACTACAGATATGAGTTCCAAATGAGGACTTATAAGCAACACCCTCATTACTCATTTCATGACCTTTTATGAGGCAAACTTGATACTAATTTTCCATAACTTGTTTATCTGGGCGATTTATACAGCGCTATCCTCGTTGAAATGGAGTCGAAAAGTCCTGTACTATTTTTTCCTATAGTGCATAACTTTCCTGCAATAACTAATTGAAGCACAATCAATCAATCCCCAATGAAACGCGATCGATTGGCTGGGCTTCGATTAGCTATTACAGGTAAATTATGCACTGTAGGAAA